GGGAAAGTTGGCAGTGGTGTCTCTCTATCAGTCGGCCCCGTCCTCCGCACTGTGTAATGTACAGGCACTGCGGGTCTTTCCTGCGGAGGAATTCACATGCTTCGGCTTTTGTCTCATCCTCCGGGGTCTGAGATCCGACCAGACAAAGCAGCAGAAGCCGGAGACTCTCCCAGATCACTCCTGCGATGTTTAACCCCTCCGGTGCCGGGAGATCACTGCCCATGACATGGCGGCCGGGCTGCTGCTGGGCTTAGCCCTGGAGGAGAATTTCCTATCCAAGGTCAGTGCAGACGTCCCAGGCCCCGGTTACCTCGTCCCGTCATCGGATAATTGAGAGCTCTGCAGAGAGGTGGGGGAAGGACTGTGCGGGGTCCGCTGATGGTGAGGACAGGGTTGGGTCCCGGGGATGCGGCACCCCTCTTGTCCTGGGGGTGGCATGGCTTGGGGCAGATGCTGATGGAGGGACAACTGGAAGGATGCTCTAAGATGCCAGGTACGTGAAGATTTAGGAGTCTTGTGTCTCTGTCTGTGATATGAGTAAAGTTTTATGGGCCAAAAATCCCCAAAAAAGGAAGTTTGGGGGTATTTGTGACATGCAAATATTTAACACATAAGGAAAAGCATTCCTGGTTGTTCTGACTTCTCTTGGTTAGATCGGAAGTCTGTGGATGTCAGAAAATAATAATAATAACAATAATAATGATAGTAATAATAATATTAATAAATATAAAAATACATGATTTAATGCCTCTAGAAGGACCCATATCGCTCAGGGCTTATAGAATTTTGTGTTCTACAACATAAGAATTAATTAAACTTGTAAATCTAAGGGCTAGTTCACACCAGCCACAGTGCGTTCCGGCCTGATTCTGGTCGCAATGCACTGAATCGCATTGCGGTCAGCTCACTCTGCTGTGGGGCGGGAGGGGGCTTGGCGGTGCATTGAAGTGAATGGCACAGCAGCCGCACTGGAACGCGTAGCACATCAATACCTGCGTTCTGGTCCGGTCAGAAAAAATAGCAGCATTGCAGCATTTTTTCGGGCCGGACCAGACCGCAGGCATTGATGTGCCTTGCGTTCACGTGTGGCTGATTGCATTGCGGCCCGGAGGGCGTGGCTACTGTGCCATTGAGTTCAATGGACCGTCACGCCCCCTCCAGCCCCACAACAAAGTGAGGCTGCTGTAATGCGATCCAGTGCGTTCTGGCCAGAATCGGGCCGGAACACACTGAAGATGGTGTGAACGGGCCCTCAGTCTTCTTGCATGCAAAATAATTCTGAGCCAGTTGTTACATTGTTATATACAGTATATATACTGTATGTGTATATAGTTGCAATGTTCAGTCTCAGCTGTTTGTAGCCGTTCAGAAGAGGATTGAATGTATATTACTGAATACAAACCCAGCTGACTGACCCACCAATGAAGAACTCTTCATATGAACTCATTATTATTTTCATTATGATGCCATAGGAAGGTGAAGGTGATAACCTGTTTGTTGTGGAGTAGCTCCCCCCCCTGCCACCAATAATAGACGGTCTGATGAATATATTGTTTAACGTACAATAAATATTCATTCATTAAAGTTGTAATTTTATCGTTTTAATTCCATTTTAGTTTTTTTTGCTCCTTTCCTTTTTAATCTATTTTTAAACCCATTTTGTTAGTTCATTGCTGATCTACTGCGCTGAGATTGATTCTGCTCTCATCATGACATGCGTCCTCACGGCATAATCATATCATTTATAAAGGAACAAAAGGTTTTATATAGTCACTGATATTTTCATTGTGTTCTTCACGGATAAACAAGCAAAAAAAAAGGTGCGTTGAACCCGCACGTGCGACCCCTTGGTGTGAAGGCCCTTAGAGTAGAATTCAGCAATGGCAACCCGCACACTTGTATCATGATAGGTGCACTTTAAATTGTGACATGTTTCCTTATTCTGTAAGCAGTTTTTTTTTAAAACAAGGCAGCATGAGGGAAACAGTAAATAAAAGGATACCTGTCACACAAGACATTTAAAGCCTTCTACTGCTAACCATTCCAGTTGTCTGGTTGTCAAGTCCATCCTCTGGCTTCGGTGGTGGCTTAGTCACTGACTTCGAACATGGCAGTGACTCAGAAAGTATTGAAGTCAGAGAACGCGAGCCAGACAACTAACGTTTCCAGCAAGAGGTCGGCACAGGGCCGGATTTCCCACAAGGCCAACCAAGGCCGGGCCTCGGGGCAGCAGGGAGTAGAGGGGCAGCAGGGGTTTGGAATTCTCCCGATGCCCCGGGACATGCAGTTCCGGGCGCCGGGCGGATAGTTGTTTTCTTCATATAGCCCGGCTTTGGGCAAGCGGAGCTAAATGTACAGCAGGGAAGCCGCTTGTTCTGTACAAGTGATCTTGGCGACATTGTATGCAGCCTGCAGGTCTGCCATTCTCCATGGTGGGGG